ACCAGCACAGTTTAGTTTGATTAACTGAGTGGTCTAGCAGGAGTCTCAAAGATCTGGGTGGCCAGTGAAGGGATCGAAGGGCCAGTGAAAGATAAGAGATGCCTGAAGAGATTCATCATAGTAAAGGAAGAGAATCTGACCTCAGCAGAGCTGACACAAAGCTACAGCTCCAGATCCGGAGCACAGAAGGGCTGCAGCCCCAGACCGGCCCAGATTGAGTCTCTGCTTTGGGAAAGAGCCACAGCCGTTTTTACCTCCCTGGTACCAGCAGGACTGAAACACAGCCAGAAACCAGACAGGAGGACAGAACACAGCCAAGACACAAACACTACAAAACAGAGCTGCCTGTCCTTCCTTACCTTCTTTCTTTTTCATCTGCCTATCTTTTCTCTCTTCTTTCTTTCTTTCATCTGCCTATCCTTCCAACGGTTCTTTCTTTCTTTCTTTCTTTCGTCTGCCTATCCTTTCTTTCTTTCATCTGCCTATCCTTCCAACGGTTCTTTCTTTCTTTCATCTGCCTATCCTTTCTTGCTTTCATCTGCCTATCCTTTCATCCTTACCTTCTTTCTTTCTTTGTCATCTGTCTATCTTTTCTTTCTTTCTTTCTTTCTTTCTTTCTTTCTTTCTTTCTTTCTTTTTCATCAGCCTATCTTTTCTCTCTTCTTTCTTTCTTTCATCTGCCTATCCTTCCAACGGTTCTTTCTTTCTTTCATTCTTTCATCTGCCTATCCTTTCTTTCTTTCATCTGCCTATCCTTCCTCCCTTACCTTCTTTCTTTCTTTGTCATCAGCCTATCTTTTCTTTCTTTCTTTCTTTCTTTCTTTCTTTCTTTCATCTGCCTATCCTTCCAACGGTTCTTTCTTTCTTTCTTTCTTTCTTTCTTTCTTTCTTTCTTTCATCTGCCTATCCTTCCAACGGTTCTTTCTTTCTTTCTTTCTTTCTTTCTTTCTTTCTTTCTTTCTTTCTTTCTTTCATCTGCCTATCCTTTCTTGCTTTCATCTGCCTATCCTTTCTCCCTTACCTTCTTTCTTTCTTTGTCATCTGCCTATCCTTCCAACGTTTTTTTCTTTTTCTTTCTTTCTTTCTTTCTCATCATCCTATTTTTTCTTTCTTCTTTCTTTCTTTCATCTGCCTATCCTTCCAACGGTTCTTTCTTTCGTTCTTTCGGTCTTTCTTTCTCTTTCTTTCTTTCTTTCTTTCTTTCTTTCTTTCTTTCTTTCTTTTCTTTCTTTCTTTCTTTCTTTCTTTCTTTCTTTCTTTCTTTCTTTCTTTCTTTCTTTCCTGTTTTGGGTCACTACATCACTGCTGTAGCCTGTTGCCCGTGTGTGTTTATCTATGTGTATGTCTGCATTACTGCAGTCTCTGTCTCTCAGTTACTCATCACTGTGCTCATCTGTGTAAACACATGTGTTTCTACCTGAGCTGATTTTTCTGCTTTCTGCTTCTTTTCAGCCGAAGCCTTTCCTTCCTGTTTACCTGTGTTTGACATAAGCATATGCGGCTGTTTGTGCTGTGAGTCATTATATATTCACTGTAGCTCTTCTTTAGTGTCATGACTGAGAAAGGAAGAAAAACACTGCCGAAACAAAATGCACGTCAGCTGGATACTAAATGCCCTTTTGAGCAGTGAATTTACAAAGAACTCTGCTTTCAATTGCAGATCTCTTGCCTTGTTTTTCAGCTGGGCTTGTTTTTTTTTTCATGCTGTGTTTTGGCCTCCTGATAAGAAAGCGTTTTAATAGTCTGAGCATTTGGGGGACAAAACCCGTTTTTTAACCGTCTGTCAAGCCCCTGTCTTTGCAGGGTGTAGCATGTGATAAGCGGAGATGTATGCCCCCCCACACCATTAGTGTAATTAATCGCTGTCACGGGACAGAAGAGAGAGGGATGAACACAGTGGCCATTCGCCTGGAATGCCTCGCTGAAGGTTCGGCTGCCTCTGCTAAAAGGCTCTTTACGCAGGACACTAAATTATGTCTAATTAACGCAATTGTTCTGCAGCAGTGTGGGCTTGTCAGGTCCTTAGGGACACTGTTAAGTGTCTATCTGTGTGCTTATCTGAATGGTAAGGGCAAAGCTTTTCGGGAGCTCTTGCTACCACAAGTGTTTTGTTGTGTGGCATGTTTTGCCATATTTAAAGCAGAGTAATGAATTTGAATTAAAAGAATAGTTAGACAAAAAACTCATTCAGTTTTCTTCTTATCTCAAATGCAGTCAGTCAGTCAGCCAGGATGTTTCTGGTGTCTGAAGTTGGCTTCTTTAGTTTTGCCCTGGAGCTACGAGGCTAATGTAGCTAACAATGAATGAAAACTTAGAAACCCCTAGTTAGCACTGTGTGAATAGAATGCCTAAAACTGCCTCAAGCTGCATCAAGTAATCTCAAATAGACCTGTTTATGTAGAAACATTAACAAAAGTACTTTGCATAGCTGTAAACACTAGGAGCAGCTTTTATGATCACTTAGCTAATGTAGTGCAAAACAAAGCAAACATGTCTTGCCTGATCAGCTATATTTGGTCTTAATTCAGTTATTTGCCAAACTATTTCCAAAAACAGCATTCATGATAAAGACAGACATGTCACGGGGTCGAAATGTAACAGAATGCAAGTATTGAGAATATGTATTCAGAATACAGAAAGGAAGTATTCAGTTAATATTTCATGAAAAGGCAGTATGCACACCCGTGCTCGCTTGTTTGTGTGTTTATGAACTATTTTAAAATCAGACACTGATGTGTAGCAGCCATACTTGTTAGATGGACTCTAAAGAGGAACAAACAACTGAAACACTGAGGTTCCTGCTGAAGTCTGAGTAGACTGATAAATCAACGTGATCAGTTATTAATCTCAGGGTTACTGAGCTCTGCTAAAGCCTGAGGAGACAGATAAATTAGTGTGATCAGTTATTAATCTCAGTGATACTAACCTCTGCTAAAGCCTGAGTAGACTGATAAATCAATGTGATCAGTTATTAATCTCAGTGTTACTGAGCTCTGCTAAAGCCTGATTAGACTGATAAATCAATGTGATCAGTTATTAATCTGTGTTACTGAGCTCTGCTGAAGTCTGAGTAGACTGATAAATCAACGTGATCAGTTATTAATCTCAGGGTTACTGAGCTCTGCTAAAGCCTGAGTAGACTGATAAATCAGTGTGATCAGTTATTAATCTCAGTGTTACTGAGCTCTGCTAAAGCCTGAGTAGACTGATAAATTAGTGTGATCAGTTATTAATCTCAGTGATACTGAGCTCTGCTAAAGCCTGAGTAGACTGATAAATCAGTGTGATCAGTTATTAATCTGTTACTGAGCTCTGCTAAAGTCTGAGTAGACTGATAAATCAGTGTGATCAGTTATTAATCTCAGTGTTACTGAGCTCTGCTAAAGCCTGAGTAGACTGATAAATCAATGTGATCAGTTATTAATCTCAGTGTTACTGAGCTCTGCTAAAGCCTGAGTAGACTGATAAATCAACGTGATCAGTTATTAATCTCAGGGTTACTGAGCTCTGCTAAAGCCTGAGTAGACTGATAAATCAATGTGATCAGTTATTAATCTCAGTGTTACTGAGCTCTGCTAAAGCCTGAGTAGACTGATAAATCAATGTGATCAGTTATTAATCTCAGTGTTACTGAGCTCTGCTAAAGCCTGAGTAGACTGATAAATCAATGTGATCAGTTATTAATCTCAGTGTTACTGAGCTCTGCTAAAGCCTGAGTAGACTGATAAATCAATGTGATCAGTTATTAATCTCAGTATTACTGAGCTCTGCTAAAGCCTGAGTAGACTGATAAATCAATGTGATCAGTTATTAATCTCAGTGTTACTGAGCTCTGCTAAAGCCTGAGTAGACTGATAAATCAATGTGATCAGTTATTAATCTCAGTGTTACTGAGCTCTGCTAAAGCCTGAGTAGACTGATAAACCAATGTGATGATCAGTTATTAATCTCAGTGTTACTGAGCTCTGCTGAAGTCTGAGCAGACTGATAAACCAGTGTGATGATCAGTTATTAATCTCAGTGTTACTGAGCTCTGCTAAAGCCTGAGTGGACTGATAAATCAGTGATCAGTTAATAATCTGTGTTACTGAGCTCTGCTAAAGCCTGAGTGGACTGAACAGAGCACTTTTATTCCTGCAAAATTTCTGACCAATAAAAAACACCCACATGTAACTTTTGGCATTAGCCTTTTCTGTGAAACCAACTGAGCAAAATGAAACAATATCACAAAAACCCAAGCTCTGGTCGTTTTTGTGATGTTGTATGAACTGATGAACAGAGTATGAAAGCAGCCCGATGTTCTTCAGAGACATTAGCTAGCAAGGTTTGCTCTCTTAGGCTGAACTCAGTGAAATCAAAACCCTGACAGCATTCATGAACGGGTTTTTAGAGACATGTTATTAGCATGACATGAAAGGTAGTTTTACTTAGCCATTTATTGGCCTAGTTGCATTTTGTCACTCAGCCAACTGTTTTTTTTGAGCCCCACCACATTTGGAGGTTTGGTGCCACTTCTGTGTATATTGACATATAATAAATAATAATAATAATAATAATAATATAATGATATTTAGTCATTATAATGTTGAGAATTTCAGAGCTTCCTTTATTCATTCATTAATTTAAAAATTTTTCATGAAACATTATCAGAAGAATGACATGAGGAAAACTGACAACCAGTAAGAGTGAGGAACAGTGTAATAATAATGAATAAGTTGCTTCTTATGTATTATAACAGAATACGTTACTCAATACATACAGGTCAATGTTCAGCCCAGCTCTAATCATAAGAAAACACTGTACATACAAAGTTTCAGTCAGGCAGCTTTTTTTTCTTTGTGTTTTTGTTTCAATCATCACATATTGGGGGGGAACAGTAATTTTATACTCTCGAACATTTTCTCTTTCCTCTGAGCCGCTGTGTCTCTGCACCATCACAGAAGAGAAATTCTAGTTGTCTCTTATCTTTCTCTTATCTCTCGCTTTTCCTTCCCAAACAGAAACCCTCCTCCGACTCTGCACCAGCCAGAGATCTGGTCTGATCAGTTTAACGATTTCATTTGCAAGTAAGTGAAATCTGTCAGTCCATGTTAAGTTGGTTTGTGGGATGAAACATAAACTAAAACATAATTTTTCCTTCTTGGTAACTGAATCAAAATCAGTTATAGGCAGTTCTTATTTTGTATGTATGTATGTGTGTGTGTATATATATATATATATATATATATATATATACACACACACACACACACGCATACATATATATATATATATATATATATATATATATATATATATATAATATATATATATATGTGTGTATATATATATATAGTTAAAATTATAGGTACAGTAGCTACAGTCGTATGCAAATGTGCTGCTCTGGCCAAATGGCATGTTTTGTTGATGTTTTAAATGAAGATAAGTTAACACATCCTCTACACAGAACACACTTAAATATGGCCTTTTTCTGTAAATTTTAGTGCACTATTTCTATTTTTTTGCTTAATTTAATATATTTTTTAGTATTTTTTATACTTTTTTGGGGGGGGGTACAGAATGTAGACTGTGCAAAAAAATTTTACAATAGGTTATACTGCAAATAGAAACTGTATATTAACATTTCCGAGACAAAGACATATGTAAGTGTGTTCTCTATAGAGGATGTTACCTTATTTTCTTTTAAAACAGCAACGGAAGATGTCATTTGACTAGAGGTTCTCAAAACTTTGGATACAACTGTATAGTTCTAGTTATAGGAATTGCTGAGACAGTGCCAGGACCACCTGCAGTTTGTAAGAGGATTAACACCTCTGAATGGAGTCCTAATTACAGTTTCTTTTTATTCTGAGTTCTGTTTTGCTGTACATATTGAAACAGTTTTGATGATCCTTCTTAACCTCATTGTCTTTGCATTGCTCTTTAAAATTTACTGTAATATTTGTAACTCCTGTAAACTACACTACTACTCAAATCACCATTCATGTTAGAAATCGATGTTTTCTATTATATAAAACCAATTTTGTTGCAGGCAAATGAATAAAAATTGTTCTAATATGATGCTGCTCAACACATTTATGGGTTTCAGCTAGATAGTAGATGCGTCCAGAATGATGAGCAGATCTGTAGAAGATTTTGAAATGACTGAGAAAACTGTATAGCTGAGACTAAAGTTATAATAAGATCAACATCCAGAATGCCTTGGTTTTGAAATATGGTGATCAAATCTTGAGGCATAGATTTTATCAAGATATAAATAATTCCAGTATATTATTCTTCATATAGTAACTGATGTTCCCAAAAAGCTTAAATATTGAATAGAATATAGATAGGTATAGCTACAGTCATGTGTAAATGTTTGAGTGCTCTGGCCAAATGACGTTTTGTTGATGTTTTACGTGAAAATAAGTTTACACGTCCTCTACAGAGAACGCTCTTAAATATGGCATTTTTTCTGTAAATGTTGGTGCACTGTTTCTATATATTGGTTAATTTAACACACTGTGGGAGAAAACATAAAATGTGGCCTGTGCAAAAGATTTTTACAGCAAATTTTATATTTTTATTTTTTTCCAATATGTTTCTCTGCAAATAGAACCTCTATATTACAATGTACAGGAAATGCCATATTGAAACTTGTTCTTTGTAGAAGATGTGTTAATTTATTTTCACTTAGAAAATCAACAAAATCAACACCAGGGGTGCTCAAACTTTAAAATTTGGATTTAAAATATGGTGATCAAATCTTGACACACAGAATTTATCAAGATATAAATAATTCCAATATATTATTCTTCATCTAATGACTGATGTTCCCAAAAAGCTTAAATATTGAAAAAAAAATACCTTAAAATATTTTTAATACTTAAAAGCTTACAGTATTTCTCCATTAGCCTATAGTATTTCATCTGTATACGTTAAAACTGGGTATACTGTAATACCAGGAGTTATTAATATGACGTTAGTGTACATATTTACAAATAGCAGAAACATTGTGAGGTAATGTACAGGATGTGTGACTGTGTGCAGGTGTCTGATCAAGGACTTTGAGCTGCGGCCGAACGTGCAGGATCTCCTCCAGCATGCCTTCATCAAACAGATCGCAGGCCGAGAGAAGACTCTGCAGAAACAGCTGATGGAGCTCATCGACCTCAACCAGCAGATGGGAGTCATTGAGAAAACCAGGTAGTTTGCCATGGAAGCAGCACTGGATGCCAGTTTCAGAGCTACATGGAAAAGGAGTTCTAAGAAGCAGGGACAACTTCTTTGTGTAATAACTCAACCTTGAGTGTGAGAGTAGCTCCCGTTACGTAGCTTTATTAGTCCTGTGAATCAGCAAATGTTTTGTATTTCCTGAAAAAGAACTCCAGAGTAACTCCCATCATTCTGTTCTTAAACTGTGTTTGGTATGGATCTTGCATTTCATTGTGATGTGACATTGGATAAAGCCCGGTCCATATGAAGGCTGAAAGGTGTCCGGTCCCTGGGGCTGGCGCGTCCTTTGTCGGAGCACAAAAGGACTTAATGTCGTCTGACCAGTTTAAAGTTTTGGCTGCTGAAAGCTTAGTATCGTGCTGTGCGTCTAAGATGTTCACGTTATTTCTGTTGTTTAAGCCATCATGGAAAGACTGAGAGGAGAGACAGTAATGACAGGTAGGAGATCATCACGAGGCAGTAGGGTAGAACTTCTTAGCTTTTACATTACTAACTGTAACTGTTTGCTTTTAAATCACTTAGAATATGTCTGTTTTCCCTAAATAGACACTTACTATGTGTAGTTCTGTACAGTAGTAGCTGGAGCTTCTAAACCTTTTGTACTAACATTGCCTTTTGAGTCATGTTGTTTGCTATTTGTGTGTACTAGTTTGTATCAGCCTTGTTAGTCTAGTCAAAATTGTTATTAACTGAATGATTTTGCAATCAGATGACAGTTAAATTCAGCTGGTCAGTCTAAAATGATCTGGAAGTCATGATCTGGCAGAACAAAAGTCACCTCTGATTTTATTTCTCTGAGTTCTGTGAAGGCTCTTTTACCTGTGAAGGTTATCGTTTACCTTGGTCAGTACACCAGGCAGACATTGTCTGCTACCACTGCTCCAAGAAAGCTAAGCTCTGTTCTGAGAAAAGGAGAGAAGGAAGAGGTTTTGGAGTTTGGTCAAATAATGCTGACTTTGGTCAAATAATGCCAACACTGAACATAATCTAAATGAGAACAGTTGTCAAGGTTCATTTGAGTTATGGTAACTGATCTCTACTAGCCTTTTTTTAATTACTAGCATTTTTGGGGTTTTAGAGCCTGACTGGCACTTGAGCACTGACCTCAACATAGAATTAACATAGTGGCTGTGGTTATTGTAGATGTTGTAGACCACCTTCAACATTGACCTCAATTTAAAACTAGCTCAGTGGATTTGCTTACTGTAGATGTTGTAGACCACCTTGAACACTGACCTCAACAAAGAGATAGCTTAGTGGCTGACTGTACTGTAGATGTTGTAGACCACCTTCAACACTGACCTCTATATAGAACTAACTCAGTATCTGTGATTTTTGTAGATGTAGATCACCTTCAACACTGACCTCAACATAGAACTAACTCAGTGGCTGTGATTATTGTAGATGAAGATCACCTTCAATACTGACCTCAACATAGAACTAACTCAGTGGCTGTGGTTATTGTAGATGTAGATCACCTTCAGCACTGACCTCAACATAGAACTAACTTAGTGGCTGTGGTTATTGTAGATGTAGATCACCTTCAGCACTGACCTCAACATAGAACTAACTCAGTGGCTGTGGTTATTGTAGATGTTATGGACCATCTTCAACACTGACCTCAACATAGAACTAACTCAGTGGCTGTGGTTATTGTAGATGTAAATCACCTTGAACATTGACCTCAACATAGAGATAGCTTAGTGGCTAACTATACTGTAGATGTTGTAGACCACCTTCAACACTGACCTCAACATAAGAGGCTAGATTCATAAGATTGCTATAATATTTACATTGCATTGCAATGTTAATGGAAAATAGACTCTGAAAGACTGTGGTTAAAATGGTTGTTGTCAGAATACCAAGGTCAGTCACTGATTTGAAGGGCCTATGTCCTACAATTTCCCTGTATTTTATCTGTATTATAGACTGAATATTGACATATTTAAATGTGCTGGTTTTTGTGACGTCACAAAAAACAGCGGATTCAAAGCAGGCTGTTTTTGCAGCTTGGACATGGACCCTGTGGACTGGGAAGTGAAAGACTAAAGTTTTAAAACTATAACAGTGCCCACATAGTACATCAAACTCCTTTATTAAAATAGTAAGGACAATTCAGTTTTAATGATATGGGCTTTTTTCATGAACTTTACTTTAAATGGACACATAATCATCTTTGAATCACTACAGCTCCTAACATAGCCTTACCTCTTTAATTATTATATTCATTTAGGTAACACGTTCTTTCATGCTGTGTTCACATCACTGTCTTGTTGTAATGTGTGTTTTTTGTTTCAGGCATGAGAGGATCCACACTAAAAAAGGCAGCAACATGAAGTCTCACAGCCAGGGACTGGACGATGTGGATGACCTGGCGACCCTTGAAGTGCTTGATGAAGTATGTTTATACCTCTGACAGAGCGTCTGAGCAGTTTAGAGCAGCTTTACATAGCACTGTGGACAAATGTGATAACGCTGAATGCCCCCTCCCCCTGCTGTACATCTGATGTACTTGTAAAAGCAAATTTTTCAATAAGGTTTGTCTTTTTTCCCTGCATTTTCAATGAGACTGTCAAGCGAGGATAACTTGCCTCAGCAGCCCTATTTTTTAAACGTCAGATGAATGAATGAACGAACAGATTAGAGAACAATAACAGTTTGTTTGTGGAAAAACGTATTTGTGGTGATTTATCAACGCGACGGCTCCCATTGACATATTGAAAGATATTAATCGCTCAGGCACCTGGAGATGTATTTTCTCCATCCATTTAAGCTGAGGGGCTGGCTGGGGGGAATTCGATGCTCACTTTATTTTCATGTCCTTGGAGTGATAGTGGCAGCTGATATGCTGGGACGATGTGGAATCTGTCTTGTGTGGCCTTAAGTAGAATATAGGTGCAAAATGTCCACAGGCATATTAACTATGACTGCTTTGGGTCACTGTAGTCAGTGTCCAGTCTGAGTTTTTCCTGCTCTGACACAGCTGATTCACCTGATCAGCAAATTATTCATCCTTTCATGAGCTGAGGCATATGTATTAGAACAGGTAAAGTGCTAAATTCTTCAGTAATGTGGCCTTGCAGCATTGGGCTCATAAAATCCTGCATTAAAGAAATAGTTTGGCAAAAAATTCAAATGTAACACAATTTATAATACACTACTATATATAAAAACAGGCAAAATTCAAGCTTCAAGATGGTTTCTGCTTCTGTTTTTAAGTATACAATGTAATTTTGTCCATATTTTTGCCAAATAATGCTATAATAATGGTATATAATAATGGCACAATATATGATATACTATAATATAGCTTGATATTAGTATATGGATTAAGGAAAAAAAATTCTAAATGATGATTTAAAAAAAAAGATCTTATTAAGAAGGGACTGAAGTGAAGTGGAAAAGAGTCCTGTAGTCCGATGGATCAAAATTTGAAATTCTTTTTGGAAATCTTGGACATCGCATCTTCCGGGCTAAAGACCACATGGCTTGTTATCAGCGCACACTTCAAAAGCCAGCATCCTTGATGGTAAAGGAGTGCATTGGTGCACATGGCATGCGTGACTTGCATATCTGTGAAGGCACCATTAATGCTGAATGATATATACAGGTTTGGGCAACATATGCTGCCATCCAGGTGACGTCTTTTTCAGGGAAGGCCTTGATTATTTCAGCAAGACAATGTCAAACCACATTCTGCATGTATTACAGCAGCATTGCTCCGTATTAAGAGTCCATGTGCTAAACTGGCCTGCCTGCGGTCCAGATCTGTCACCACTGAAAACATTTGGCGCATTATGAAATGAAAAATACAACAACGGAGACCCTGAACTGATGAGCAGCTGAAATCTGACATCAAGCAAGAACGTTAAAACATTTCACTTCCAAAACTACCAGTGTCTCCTCAGTTCCCAAACACTTATAGAGTGCTGTTAAAAGAAGAGGTGATGCAGCACAGTGGTAAACATGACCCTGTCCCAACTTATTTGAACCAAGTAGCTGGCATCAAATTTAAAATGGGCATATATTTTTCAAAAAACAATAAAAAATTTCAACCTTTGATACATTGTCTTTGTACTATTTTCAGTGAAATATAGGGTTTAAATGATTCACACATCATTGCATTATGTTTTTATTTTACATTTTACACAGCATCCCCACTTTTTTGGAAACAAGGCTGTATATCTTTTTTTTTTCCCAAATTAATAAACATTTTTTTAATACTATTTTTTTCTGGGGTCAAAAATATTTTCAAGTATGTGAAAGCACCTTGGCATTTCACAATGAAGGTCACTGGGAGTCCTCCTTATGATGCAATATTTTGCAATAAAAACAGTCTACACAACAGTACATCATACCACATAATACCACTGCTTCTACTACTACTGCTAATAATAATAATAATAATAATAATAATAGTAACATAAATCTATTTGAGGTTATAGTAACTGTCTCAACCTGTGATTCTTTTTCATTAGAATACGATCACAGAGCAGCTACAGAAACGCTACACGAAGGACCAGATCTACACGTACGTGGGGGACATCCTGATTGCAGTAAATCCTTTCCACAAGATGGATCTGTACACTCAGCAGGTATATATTTATGCATGTATGTGTGCATGCATTGTCGCACACCGTAGGCCAAAGGTGGCCATACCTCATTATGGATATCATCACCGTCTCAGCGTCTACTGCATCCCATCTACTGACTCATCCTTCTCTTCCTCTCTCTCTCCATCTATTTCCCTCTCTCCCTCTCTCTGTCTTCCCTGACAGTCATTATCTGTCTTGCGTCACTTGCTTCAGGGCCTTACCACTTCATCTTCTTTCCTCCTCTTTTTCACTCTTTTTTTGTATATGCGCATAACGTCTGAATGATGTTCTCCCTCTAACAGTACTCAAAGATGTACATTGGGGCCAAGCGCACTGCAAACCCTCCTCACATATTTGCAGTTGCTGACATTGCATACCAGGCCATGGTGTCCTACAACGCTGACCAGGTACCTTACTTTTTTGGCTTTTTGGCTTTACCAGAAGCGATACCACAGCTGGTAAAGAATGAAAAAAATGAGGTTATGCTGCACTATATGTCCAAAAATGATATTCACCTGCTCATCCAACGTTTCATCTGTTAATAGGTAGTTTGTCCCCCTTTGTTGCAGTACAAGCCTCTACTCTTCTGAGAAGGCTTTACACTAGATCAGGGGTCGGCAACAAGCAGCTCTGGAGCTGCATGCAGCTCTTTTACTGCCCTGTTGTGGCTCCAAAGGAGGAATTAGATTTGTAGGTAAAAATAAAATAAAATAATCCTCCTTTGCAGTAAAATAAAGCTCTGCTGATCGTTCAACACAGTTTTAACAATTAATGGTCTTAAACACTGGAGTTAATGTAGAACTGCTAATTCAGTCTTTAACCCTGAAGGCTGGTATGCAGATTGTCTCCATAACAACACAGACAGCAGTCTCACCTAGCTAGTAGCTAATGAAAAGACAAAGAGAAAGATTTAAGACGGACGTTGATAATTTGGAGATGAATGGACTTATTTTGCACTCCAGCTGGTTTCCTGATATGTTTAATCTGCGATGAGAAACTGTCAAACACTAAAAAGTCGCGAAGCTTCTTGTTTACAAACTTCTTGTTCAAACTCTCCCATTCCACCTTAAATGGTGCAGCAGTTACATTCTGGCACCGCATGCACCATTTAAGGTGGAACAGGAAAATTCGAATGAGAAGCTGACTTCAACCTTGTAAAAAGTCAAACGCTGAACGACATTTTACAAGAAACTATTCCACTTTTGCGAAAAAGTTTCCAGCCGGAGATCCGAGAAAAGCAGCTAAAGCTGAGCTAAAGTCTGCGTTTTCGTTTATATTATATTTTTAGCCTATACTAGTACATTAACATGTACTGAGACATATTTACAGCCAAGAGGTTAGAATGGACATTTTATGTACACCTGCTCTAAATGTTGGAACATTGGTTTGGTGTTGATTGCATTCAGCCACAAGAGCAATAGTGAGGTCAGGTACTGATGTTGGATGATCAGTTCTGGATTATCACAACTCATTCCAAAGGTATTGGATGGAGCTCCTTCACTCCAAGAATGCAGCTCCACAACCCACCTGACCTTGGGCTCATGTGCAGCCAGAGTGTTGAACAATTGAACACCTTTATCAACAATGAGTGCCCCTTAAAGTAGCCAAATTTACTAATTATAAAGGCTGTCTGGATACTTTTGGACATTCAGTGTAGCTGCCATGCTGGAAATTTGGTCACATGCAGTCAAGAGTGGAACCAAACAACACTTGCATGGTTAATGCTAAACAAAATGTTGGACACTTTTAGTGTAAGGTCTTATTAACCAAAGCTACTGTGTCCTTATCTGATGCTTTTTTGTTGAACTGCTTTTTTTATGTGCAGTGCATCGTGATCAGTGGAGAAAGTGGTGCAGGGAAGACAGAGAGCGCCCACCTGCTGGTCCAGCAGCTCACGGTGCTCGGCAAGGTCCGGCCAACAGCTTTTGCTTTCTTTTGTTTTGAGACTTTAAAAGAAATCAAATAGCTAGCCGCATTTTAAATAATATGTCAGTGATTGTCAAAGTAGCTCTGAAAAGTTTCTCACCACATTAAATCAGTAGCTTGTATTTGTCAGCAGAAACTTTATACTTCGCAGTCACTCTGGAGTGGAGGTGATGGGGGTATGAACATAAGACAAGCAAGTACACAAACAAACAACCAGATAAAATGAGTACTGGGCACAAGAGCTCCCCCGATGATGTAAACACTCAGAGTTATTACAGGCCCAATCTGGTGACACCCAATCTTTGTTCAGAAACTTTGTTTAGGATGCTTCAGTAATCATAAAACTCGCAAAGAAAGGCTGGCCATTGTCTCAGCTAACACATACAGGCACACTCCTTTCCCTTTTTAATTACGGCTGTGTGAGTGCTGATGAGAAAATGCTTTATTTTCTCAGTTTTATTTTAATAGGAGGGGGTGAACAGTTCTGTGAAGGAACAGAGAATTGCTATTGTTGTAAAATGACAATAGACATCTGTCGTGTCATCATTCTGTAGTCAGCGTCATGCCCTTATAAGAAATTTCTGCTCAGAGTCATTTTTCTCTATGAGAAAAATGAATGGTGTTCAATGAATGGGTGTCCTGTGGCTAACAAGAATATTATGAAACCTGATATGCATTACCGTACCTTTTTCCCTCGAATGTCATTAGATCCTACATTACAAGGTCATTAAGGACTTGAAATATATACATTGCAACACCATTTATATTATGCTTTTATATATTAAAAAAAAAAGTGCAGACCAAATTCGGGTTTCAATAGAACTGCTACTTTTTTTTTAGCTATGCAGTGTATTTTTGTCCATTTTTATTAGTCACAGTAAGCCATGAAGTGTCAGAAACCAATATAGCAAGTCAATATAAGATCGCTTAACTCTGTATAGTAAGTGTAGGCCAGCAATTTGCATGATATTAATTGACAGGGGTATAAGTTTGAGCTTTGCCAATTGTGGTATTTAAGTTGCTTTCACAGCACTAGGCTAGTTTGAGTAGCTTGTATTAATATACACCAATCAGGCATAACATTATGACCACCTCCTTGTTTCTATGCTCATTGTCCATTTTATCAGCTCCACTTACTATATAGGAGCACTTTGTAGTTCTACAGTTTCCCCTTTTACCCTGTCAGTGTTGCTGCAGTGCTAAGAATGATCCACCACCCAAATAGTACCTGCTCTGTGAGGGTCCATGGGGGTCCTGTCCACTGAAGAACAGGGTAAAAGGGGGCTAACAAAGTATGCAGAGAAACAGATGGACTACAGTCTGTAATTGTAGAACACACACAGGACAAAGTGCACCTATATAGTAAGTGGAGCTGATAAAATGGACAATGAGAGTAGAAACAAGGAGGTGGTCATAATGTTATGCCTGATCGGTGTATATAAGACTGTTGAAGTTTGCTATTAAACTTCATGTGATGATGTCATTTCAATGCATGAAAGTGTTAGCTTGCTAGTAGCATGCATGTGGGGGGTGGGGGGGTGGGGGACGGACGTACACAGGACAAAGTGTATCAGGTTCAGAACATTTGTTTTCTTCAAGGCGCAATGATATCAATCTTCACAAATGACATTCATTTTTCCCCCAAATAAAAAACGACTTAGACCTGGCGTTCTTATTATGGCCATGACGCTCAGTGTCATGAGTGACAGGGGATTGGATGCAGTTACAGACGGCTTAATAAATTCACACAAAAACAAGATCAAACAGTTCGAAGTCAAAGTAGGAGACTAAGTAGGCTAATATAGGATAAGCAGGTTCAAGGTCAGAGTAAAAGTAGGCATGAGTCAAAAGATCCAGAGAGACAACCAATACAGAGTATTACAGGCTCTGAACACAAGTAAGAACAAGAGGTTCTACAAAGTGTGGTGAGAACTGGGGAGGTTAATAAAGGATGACCGAAAGTACTGACAGGTGTGGGGCATGGGGCAAAGCAGTGATCAGTAAGCTGGCGACGCCAAGCACTGGAGAACAAGTAGGGGAGGAGAAGGAGGCGTGACACCTGACTTCAGCGGTCTAGGCTTGGATTAATATGAGAGTCTAAAGGGTTTTGCTAAATCAGATGTTAATATTTAGAATCTTTTGTTATGAAATACTACTTAAAAAGCACCTTTGAAGCATCTGTTTGTCTTTGCAGGCGAACAACCGAACCCTCCAAGAGAAGATCCTACTAGTAAACAGCCTTGTGGAGGCCTTCGGGAACGCCTGCACGGTCATCAACGATAACTCCAGCCGCTTCGGGAAGTACCTCGAAATGAAGTTCACGTGTGGGGGGACAGTGGTGGGCGCTCAGATCTCAGAATACCTCCTGGAGAAGTCGCGCGTCATTCACCAAGCTGTGTGAGTGTGGAGCCTGTGGCTTAACCTCTTAAGGCTTTTTAAGATTAAGATTAAGTGACCCTTATTAATCCCACAACATGGAAATTTCACCTCCGCATTTTAACCAATCTGTGCAGTGAAACACCACATACACACTAGTGAACACACGCACTAGGGGCAGTGAGCACACTTGCCTGGAGTGGTGGGCAGCCCTATCCACAGTGCCTGGGGAGCAGTTGGGGGTTAGGTGTCTTGCTCAAGGACACTTCAGTCACGTACTGTTGGCTCAGGGTATCAAACTGACGACCTTCCAATCACAGGGCTGGTTCCCTAACCTCCAGCCCATGACTGCCGCCCCCCTTCTACCTAATCTCTGTCTGCTGCATCTGTACTATGCAGATGACATAGACAATAATTAAACTACTTTACGGGTACCTAGAAATGAACAGAACATCTGTTGACTTAAAACACGCTTACAATAGAAGCTGATGGGAAGCTGCTTCAGCACCTGTCCATTGCCATCCATTATATTCTGTTATAAGTGTGGCCTGTATGTGGGCCCTCAATTCAGCTCTTCACTTTCATAGCTACATAACTTATGTCTTAAGATCAGTAACTGAATAAAAGCCCAGGGTTCAACGAGTTAAGGCTGCAAACTGGGCATGCGTGAGGCATGTCAGCAGAGGAGGACAACCCTCAAACTGAGACTTTGAGTTTCTGTTTATTTGGTGGTGCTTGATTAACCCATTAACCTCCAGGCTAATTATTCAGTTACTAACCTTAAGACTTCTTAGCCTCTATAAATTATTCCGTATCTACTATGAAACTAATCAGTTATGTAGTTATGAAAGTGAGGAGTTGGAATGTGGACCCACATAGAGTTTGAAGGGGAATTCCACTGATTTGTTAACATTTCTGCATAATTCAGAACATCAACATAATTAAAGCAGTGGAATCAACCAGTTATGTTTTGATTTACAATAGATGGGAACAATTGCATAAAGTTACTCCAGGTCTTCTTAGGGTTCTAGATATGTCACTGACTGTGACTGTGCCGTAGTCTAACCAGGCTTCACTCAGTTGTTAGAAATGTAAAACAGCAGCAGCTCTATGTCAGGACTGACTCACTGAGTGCGTTTACATGCCCTTAATAATCCGATAACTGCAGAAAATCAGTTTACATGCTCTTTGAGTAATCAGATAATGAGAAACTCTGTGTCTACATGAGTCACGCAATAATCAGATTTCTACTTTGTAAACTTTCATGCCATGTTTTTGTTTGTTTTTTTGTTTTTTTTTAACTTCACACCACTTCACCTGAAAATATGAACATACATCATTTAGAAGATAAACAATATTTAACTCCTTTGTTTTGTGTTTGGGTTTTAGCGCCTCCAAAAGCGTTCTGCTGCCATCTTGCGACATCCACCGTCTGATCTCACGCATGCACAGACTGAGAAATCTGATAGAAATCGGAGTAAGAGTTCACATGCGCTCAGAAATCTGATTACTGAGCTAAAATCCAGCTCTCTTTATCAGATTTCTTAATCAGATTTCTTTATTTGAGTATGGTGTTTACATGACCATTCGAATAATCGGATGACTGCAGAAATCCGATTATGATCGGATTATTGAGGGCATGTATACGCACCCACTGTTACGAGGTAAAATATATGTTGATGTCTGTTTCAAATTTCATATAAACCATGGAATGTATTTGACAAGCGTCAAACATCTGCACTTAACATAGAACACGCAATAAAATATTCATGTGAATCGTCATTAGCTTAGAACTGACATTCTACGAAATATCATAGGGGCGCTAGCAAAAAATAGCACTATTGTAGAAGTGTTTTTATCCAAGTTTCGACATTTGCTGCTCGAACCGAAGGCCTAGCTCTAGTAGTAAACTCTTCAGATGTCTGGTTCCTATCACCACCACTGTGAACAGTTCTGACTCTGTACGTTTTTCAACAACAGAGCATTCCACACCAAACCACTCTGAATGACTTTGTTAACATCTTAACCATTTAATTTTGCATGCATGTTTTAAACAGTGAGTGGAATTCCCCTCAAAGGGGCTGAAGAATGACTGTGAAAAGGCCACCAGTACTTTGGGTTCTTTTAGTTAAGCTTTCGACATCTAACACCTCACTGAGGTTAATCCTTCCTCATTCTCTCTCAGCCTTTGTCTCTCTTGCTCCCTCCCTCTCTCTCTGTCAGTTAGGCTGGAGAATGATGGAGGTCAAGGGAATGAGATTATTTCTTATTTGATTGAAGTCTGAGGCTTTGTAGACTTTGCTATTGTGACCTTAAAGTGTATTGTCCCTAAAGATAGATTTGACCTAAGGAGAGAGTTTCTCTTTGGGTGGCTGAAATATATGTGGGGGAGAAAATTGACTGTTTAAATAGATTTTTTTTAGAGTTTTTTTTAGAGGAAGCATAAATTTGTCTTTAAAGTGAAGCCTTTTTAAAATGACTCAGTACAGGCTGATCCAAATAGCATAATCAATCTAGCCATTCATTTAGCTTCAGAAATAAAATCTCTGATGCAAAGGCAAAAACAGCAATGATAATTACAGAGGCAAAACACAGTAATTAGAAACTGCACTTTGAGGGAGGCTGATTATGCAAAGCCTTGTTACGTTCCCAGAATATACTGATCTCAACACGAGCTTTATTACTTTTAGAATTAGGTTGACTGCAGTTTTGAACATTCACTCGCTTGTCTAGGCAATGAGGCAAAATTCTGCTGGAGCTATCCAGTAGAGATCTCTTTAACCCTGTTCCTGGAGGACCATAATACGTACTGTAGAGAGGGCACTATACCACTTTTTCTTTTCCTGTGCCGATATGGATACTGAAACGCTGAGTATCGGCTAATGCTAAGACAATATTTGTTTTCTTTAAAAATGACTAAGCTATAAGATGAATTATTTTATACAATATTTATATCAGGCCTGTGCACAGATAATGTGGCTTAAAGAAAAGAAAAGGACAACATGAACATGAATTAGGGATTGCGCCACTTAATTTTTACTAGTCGGCAAGTTACTCAAAAAGGCAGTCAACTAAAAGGTTCAAGTTTATTTGTCATTTGCACAACATGTTAGGACATTCATGCATTGAAGTGCTTGTGGTGAGGCTCAGGTAATCACTCTACACTGTTAGAAATAAAGGTGCTGTGCAGGTACATTCTTCGTTCATCAAGGTATAAATAATGTAAAGGTACCTCAAAGGTACAGCAGTGGTTTTAAGGTCCAACTGTGCACCTTAAATACGTTTTTTCCAGGTGAAAATTATGTGTTTGTACCTTTTCATAACCGAATGTTCTAAAACAGAACAGTAAAATAAAAGCCTGGAGACGAGACGGGGTGTGTGGAGTCAGTACAGCTTAGAACATATCATTTCAATGGATTGTGGAACAGTTATGTTTTCTAAAAGTACTGAGACGTACCCTTGAGGGTACTGCCCCAGTGACAAGAGGGGTACTGCCCCAGTGACAAGAGGGGTACTGCCCCAGTGACAGTTTACTACCTTTATTTCTGAGAGTGTACAGCAGGGCAGCATTATATACATACTAAAACAATACAAACAAAAACTAAATAACTGAAATATAATAAAAATCTAATAAATATTATAAAATATAATAAATATTTTAAAGTGCCTTAGTGATACTGTCCGCCGCAGTGATATAATAAACAATACTAACAAAGTAACAGAGTGAAACAAACATCTGCGAGACGTTTTTTCTTAGTAGCTTACTAATAGGGTCTGGCTCTAATGGCAGATGCTGCAGTTTGAGGTGCGATATTGCACTGCGAAAGAGTTCTTTGTTGTATTTCAGCAAGTTTCAGTCTGTTGCACTCTGGCCAAAGCAGTACACAGACTGTTTGAGATAAACCACATGCTAAAATCACTACAGCTTTCAGAATCTCAGAATTTAATCTGGCCCTGGTTTGTGCTGTGCCTGATGGGAACCAGATGATTATCAAGCTAAATGGTAGAAGCAAGAGCTTGATTCTCTGCTCATCAGTAAGCCTTTCATATGGAGATACAGGCCCGGTCGCTGAACCACTCTAAACATCTAAACATTCAGGATATCCCATTTTTAAATGTTATTCCTGAATTATGTTTGAAACTGTAGGTAGCAAGTAAACCTGAGATCCTTGTGTATTACCAACCAGTACTCTGCTTGTTTTAATTGCGCATGTTTCATTGAACAGTCTGTGATTGGATTTTGTTTTTTAATAGCCCTTTCCTATCATGGTTCTCAAAATCTGCCCAGTCTGGAGTACGAGTCTGCGGTGGAGTTTCATTTCGTACAGTTTTCCATGCTAATAAAGTATTTTGTGTTCAGAAGAAAAACATACGTCTGTTCTCTTCTCCTGCCTCTTCAGTGTATTTCAGGCTGTGCACAGCCGACTAGTAGCTAAAATATATAGAATTACAGCACTGCATAGTGCACTACTTCTGTCATGTGTGTATATATATATATATATATATATATATATATATATATATATATATATAGTTCTACAGTTACAGACTGTAGTCCGTCTGTTTCTCTGCAGACTTTGTTAGCCTCCTTTTACCCAGGACCCCCTTGGACCCTCACAGAGCAGGTACTATTTGGGTGGTGGATCATTCTCAGTATTGCAGTAACACTGATGTGGTGGTGGTGTGTTAGTGTGTGTTGTGCTGGTCTGAGTGGATCAGACACAGCAGTGCTGCTGGAGTTTTTAAACACTGTGTCCACTCACTGTCCACTCTATTACATGCACCTGCATTGTCGGTCCACCCTGTAGATGTAAAGTCAGAGACGACAGCTCATCTGCTGCTGCACAGTATGAGCTAATCATCCTCTAGTCCTTCATCAGTGGTCACAGGATGCTGCCCACAGGACACTGTGGACTGGATATTTTTTGTTGGTGGACTATTCTCAGTCCAGCAGTGACACTGAGGTGTTTAAAAACTCCAGCAGCACTGCTGTGTCTGATCCACTCGCACCAGCACAACACACACTAGCACACCACCACCACGTCAGTGTTACTGCAGTGCTGAGAATGATCCACCACCCAAATAGTACCTATATATATGAATTCTATCAACAGCACTCCTGATTGCTTGAATTTAATGAAGGACTGATCGATCTAAACCAGGTATTGGATAATAACTACAATCATTTCTGGGCTGCCATGAGGTGAAGTTTGGAAATGGTTAAATGAACACATTGACTTACATAAAATCACTACTTATTGTGTGAATATTATATGTATTTATTCTATTATTCGTGTTTTTCTGAGCAAATAAATGTTTACTGACCAGATAAGCAGCCTTTTAAATCAAATTCTCAAGTGCCCAAAACTTTCCCACTACTGTGTATATAATACACAGATCTACTGATGTTATATTTAACTAGCAATGATCTTATGAGTAACACTGTTTTGTACCTTGTTTTGTTTGTTCCCTGACAGCGGAGAGCGTAATTTTCATATTTTCTACTACATCTACGCCGGTCTGGCGGAGAGAAAGAAGCTCGCCCACTACAAGCTATCTGACAGTAAAACTCCAAAGTAGGTTCCCACTGAGCGCTGTAGTCTCAGGGGTTTATTTATATCCCACCTCTTCTACAAACACACTCCCATTTCATTCTCTTGCTGAGGTTTCTATTGTTTTCTGCAATTTCAGGTACTTGCAGAATGAACACATCAAACTCGTGCCTGACATTGTGGGCAGTGCCTTCTACAAGGAGCAGTTTGAGGCAGTGGAACAGTGTTTTAAAGTGATTGGCTTCACTCTTGAGGTACTGTGCAGCAGTAATTGCAGTAATAATAATAATCTTTTGCTTATGTAGATAAACAAATACTTACTTTATGCTAATCTTTGCCTGTCAGTTTTGCTGTGGCAATGAGCAGTGATTTCTGTATCAGCATGAGGTTCAATACAGCTTCAAATAAAGAGCCTTTCATTATAGAAAAACCGGTCTGATGGACAGAACTAAGAGCTGGATGTAGTAAATGTGGTGTGTAAAGGAAGAAAAGGAACTCAAAAGACTGGACTCGGACTCCCGCCTGAGACTGAGAGGCTCGACCCAGCCTAGCGTGAGACTGGACCGGCTTGCACCCCAGTCAGACTCCCAGCTCTGAGACCTGAGACTGGACTCAGACTCGCAGCTCTAAGTCGTGAGACTGGACTCAGGCTTGCACCCCAGGACTCAAGATTGGACTTGGACTCCCACCCCAGACTGGACTCGGACTCCCAGCTCTGAGACTTCAGACTGGACTCAGACTCGCAGCTCTAAGTCGTGAGACTGGACTCAAGCTTGCACCCCAGAGACTTGAGATTGGACTTGGACTCCCACCCCAGACTGGACTCGGACTCCCAGCTCTGAGACCTGAGACTGGACTCAGACTCGCAGCTCTAAGTCGTGAGACTGGACTCAGGCTTGCACCCCAGAGGCTCGAGATTGGACTTGGACTCCCAGCTCTGAGACCTGAGACTGGACTCAGACTCGCATCCCAGAGACTCGAGACTGGATTTGGACTCACAGCTCTGAGACTTCAGACTGGACTTGGACTCTTAGCTTTGAGACTTGGGACTTGGACTCACACCCCAGAGACTTGAGACTGGACTCAGACTCGCCCCCCAGAGACTTGAGACTAGACTCGGACTCCTAGCTCTGAGACTTGAGACTGGACTGAGACTCACACCCCAGAGACTCGAGACTGGACTTGGACTCACACCCCAGAGACTTGAGATTCGACTCGGACTCCCAGCTCTGAGACTCCAGAATAGGCTCAGACTTGCAGCTCTGAGACTTGAGACTAGACTCAGACTCGCGCCTCAGAGTCTGGAGACTGAACTCGGACTCTCACCTCAGAGGCTCGAGACTTGGATTCACACCTCAGACACTTGAGACTCGACTCAGACTTGGCTCTGCATTGCTATAAAGAAATGCTTCACCCGAACATGCTAGCATTGCAAAAATGAATTGAAGACTTGTTGGTACCTGTAGGTAAATGAGACTGTATTAGCTGCTGTCCATTAGCTTCCATTCATTGTCAGTCTAATTATTTAAACTGGTCTACTACATTAACACTGAATGTTTATCAAAGCCAATAAAACTGAGCTCCACACATCCACTAAGCGCTTACATTCATAAACAGGTTTGATCTTAGTGCAAATGATACGACATCATTATAACACGATTTTAATTTAGGTAGTTAGCCTACAGTTCATCTGTGTGTTCTGCAGCGTTTACCGTCTGTGTCGACACGTCTTGCTTTTTTTTCGTTTTTTGTCATTTGAGAAAGGAACAAAATGTTCTATTAAATGATGCTATTAAGTGGAATGGTTTGGGTGTATAAATGAGTGTGCAGTGACTGAGGAGAGACCCTGCTGGTGCATTCATGCTGAGTGGTCAGAACATGGACAGTAGCCTGTCTGTGTGTAGTCTAATGACCCTGTGCTCTGATGTGAGGAGCTGTGCAGTTAATGTAAGCATTAGCATAAGCAGCTGCACAGAGGAATTCTCAAAATATCCATGTCTTATATGAGTGTCTTATATGGAAGGCATCTCATGTTGAATGTAAGTGTTTTCCCTTTAAACCTGAGCCAAAAAAGCTATTTCTGCATTTCAGTCTACTCTTCTCCATCACAAACACAATTTCTCAATAGATTTTACACTGTTTGTGTCACAAACTGCCATTTTGAACAAGCAAACATGCTAATAGGAATATAGTACTGTGTGAAAGTCAGAGACAGCCCTTTATTTATTTTATTTCCAGTCAAAATGGCCATTAAGTTCAAGTTATTCTTTTTTCACTCTCAGGGAAAAAGTAGGAAACATACTCAACAGAAAATCCCACAGAAACCTCAACAAATAAATATAGTATCAAAATATTTTAGTATGTACACTCCCATGCCAAAAAGGGGGGCGAAGCCCAAAATATAATGGTTTTTACTGATGGTTTTGGCCTGGTTAGACTCCAGATTTAATCACTATAGAGAATATTTGGTCTCGCATTAAACGCGAAGCAGCTCGGCAGTGTTTTTCAACTATGTGAAGCCGTCAATGCTGAGTGGAACAGTACTGACTCGTAAAAATATATATATAAGTTACTTTATCTATTTGTTTAATGATTTGTTGTTAAGACGATCAAATGCTTAAAGTTTTACCATTTTAGGCTTGGTCCATTTTTTGCACGGGAATGTCGTGTGTCCACTCTTTGCCTTTATTACAGCTTCCATTCTTTTCAGGAGACTCACTTTCAGTTTTTCAAAGAAATCTGCAGGGATGTTTTTCCACACCCCCAAAGTTTAGTCTTAGAAGGTTTAGCATTTTCTGCTTCTCACAATCCAAATAATTCAAACTCATTCAGTGGTGTTGAGGTCTGGACTCTGGGGTGGTCAGTCCATTGTTCAGCTTCTTTGTTTGATGTGTCCGTCTCCTTTTCTTAGTGAGGTTCTTCTCGACAGCTACACATCCTTTCAGACCCACAGCGCTGAGTCGTCTTCTCACAGTGGAAGGATGGACAGAAACACCTGTGGATGTTTTCAGATCTGAAGCAGCTTGATTCTCTCCTCTCTCTCAGAGATCAAAGCTTTAAGTGCTGTTTATCTGATGGGGGCAGTTTTGGTGGTCCACCAGTTTTTGTCCCATTTTCTGTTTCCTTTAATAATTTTTTGAACTCCAGTTTTGGAAACTGCTGCTCTTTTACTTATTTCCCTTTGACTTTCCTCTTCCTTATTCAAGTGGATTATTTTATATATAATCTTCTCAGAAATATCTCCTACAATATCTTATACACACATACACAGTACATGATGGCTGTTTTGACTGGAAAATAAATTAGTGGTCTCTGACTTTTGCGCAGTGCTGTACTTCACACTTCACATATTCAAATAGAGATTCAAATGATCCCACCAAGGTTTAATGAAGCTAGAAACCAAACAATCACTTTCATTATTGATTTTATCGCTATCACTGTACTTACAAATGGGAAGTGCACTGATGGATTGCTGCAGAATTTGCTACCGTGGAGACTGGGTGGTCCGGGCCTGCAGCACTATGACGTTCCACTGTTGAATGGGCTGGATTAGTTTTAACACAAGAACTTCTACTTTGTTTCATGCACATGCTTAGGAAAACAGTGTGAAACAACCATAAAAGAACCCTAGATTTCAAAATCTAAGCTGTTCTATCCTGATTTTTATTCCCAGAATGGTGTCTCAGTGCACTCTAAGTATAAGAGGCTTAGGCTCAATCCCATTTCACCCCTCGCCCCAACACTTAGCCCTACCCACCATTTTGCATGTTCAAGTCTAGGGGTAGGGTGTCCCGATTTCTGTTGAGAAAGAGGGGTAGGGCGAAGTGTTAGGGCTACATGGCCCTCCAAATGGAGGTTTTTCAGAGACACACTTCAAACAGTAAAACTGGCATGATGGCTGCACAAGAGACCAAAAAAACCCACAAATGTGAGAATTTTCTCTGCTAGCTAAATGTCATGTTCCACCTTAAATGTTGCAGTCACGTTCTGGCAGGGTTGCCTACCACTAAGCAGCCTGTTAATGAAGTAATGCTCTTTTTTATTTGAGGTTTGTCACCTTTTGTAGGGGGAAGATTTCAACCACTACCCTTTGTAACTCAGTTCCAAGGGGGAGGGTGACACTTGAAAACAAGGGGTAGGGGTAAAAATAAGAACGGGGGTTGGGCCTTAAGGTGCGCAGTATGAAGTCAGTTCATTCAGCCAGTGTCTATATAAGGCAGAAAATGCCTTTCCAGTTGATAAGGGTGCATTTTGCTAATGCAAGATTTCATTTCAAGTAGGACAGTCTTGTCTTCCAGGCTGGTAAAACTGAACCTCCAGACAAAACATAATTAGACAAGCATCCATCTAAACTAGCAAAGACAGAGGAAAATGTGAACTGTGAACTGCAGTAGTACGTGTAACGTCTCTGAAACGTCAGTTCGGTTTTGCCGTCGCTCGGGCGGAATGGGAGCGGGCTCAGCGTGGGCTCGTGAGTGGCAGTAGTCTGCCTGGCGTGATGTAATGGAACATGGCGTGCAGTGGGGCCTTCACCTAATGGAAAAGACAGCCATAGAAATTGCCCACTGGTGACTGGCTGCTGTAGAACATTTGCAGAGATGTTCTGGGCAGAAAAATCTGTTCAGCTGGGAGTCTCAAATGCATATTGTATCATATTCTTTTACAAATGCATAATTATTGAGCACCTGTGTAATAAATCACAAGCATAAGTTGCTTAGTAATATTTATCTTTTGCCTTATCGTTCTGCCTGTGTCCACAAATACAAGTTGTTGTTTTTTTTTACCTTTTATCTTCATCTTCACAGGAACTGGGGAGTGTGTACAGCATTCTTGCTGCGATCCTAAACGCTGGCGACATCGAGTTCACCTCAGTGGCTTCTGAGCATCAAACTGACAAGAGCAACATCATTAACATGGCTGTGTTGGAGAGTGGTGAGTTAGCTTGAGTTAGCATGCCAGTGCTATGAGAGGTAGATTAGCCCCTCTTAGCTTGCTAGTTTTGTAAAGTGGTCAGTTAGTCCACTGTCACTTAGTCACCTCAGCAATCCTTTCAGAGCTGACCTTTAGATACCTCTGCACATAATGCATGAGCACCTGATCTGACCTGATCTGGTAAGTCTCATTGTTGCGTAAGGTCTCCCACACAGTGTGGGCTGTCCAGCTCTGAAGTTGGGATGATGTTCCTATCTGTCGATTAATTTGCTGATTTCTGAATACAAGAACCAGCAACCAATGGCAGCATATACACCGGTCAGGCATAACATTTTGACCACCTCTTTGTTTCTACGCTCATTGTCCATTTTATCAGCTCCACTTACTATATAGGAGCACTTTGTAGTTCTACAGTTACAGACTGTAGTCCATCTGTTTCTCTGCATACTTTGTTAGCCCCCTTTTACCCTGTTCTTCAGTGGTCAGGACCCCCATGGACCCTCACAGAGCAGGTACTATTTGGGTGGTGGATCATTCTCAGCACTGCAGTAACACTGACGTGGTGGTGGTGTGTTAGTGTGTGTTGTGCTGGTCTGAGTGGATCAGACACAGCAGTGCTGCAGGAGTTTTTAAACACCTCAGTGTCACTGCTGGACTGAGAATAGTCCACCAACCAAAAATATCCAGCCAACAGCATCTTGTGGGCAGCGTCCTGTGACCACTGATGAAGGACCAACACAAACTGTGCAGGAGCAGATGAGCTATCGTCTCTGACTTTACATTTACAAGGTGGACTGACAAGGTGGGAGTGTCTAATAGAGTGGACAGTGAGTGGACACAGTGTTTAAAAACTCCAGCAGCACTGCTGTGTCTGATCCACTCGTACCAGCAAAGAAACTATGAGGTGGTCATAATGTTATGCCTGATCGGTGTAAACAGTTTAATGCTTGTAACCATTGGTGGAAAGAAATGTTTCCTTGAATTCTTTGCTGTATTGTGGTATTATATGACAAAAACTACCATATAACATTCTCAGGCAGAATAGAAGACAATTAAATGCAATTCCTTTAAGATCAAATTGATCAACTGATCAAAATCAATTGCTTTATAGGGGTATACATGCCATAAGTTCAAAGGTTCACAGTTTTAACCCCTTAAACTGAAGGATCATTATTCTATTACTGATTATTCAATAAATACTGTAAATTATTTGGTAGCTGTCGTCAAACTAATGTGTACGAGTGAGGAATTGAAGTGTGGGCTCACCTATTGTGCCTTAGAGTTTAAAGGGCCTAACTACAGGTTTATTACACAGGAATAGATGTAAACATTGGAAATATGAAAGCAGTACTGGCTAAATCAAAAATAAAAGCACCATAACAGACCACAGGTGAAAATGCACCACAATTAAGAGTTTTTCAAGGGTAACCCTTATAAAAGTCTATTGAAATGGCATTATAGCTGCATTTATAGCTGCATACTGATATTGAATATTACAGAAATATGTGTCTTTGAATGTATTCTTAAATACAAGTCTTTGCATGTGTTTCTCCATAGCCGCCTCGTTGCTGTGCATCCGTCCGGATGAGCTGCAGGAGGCGCTGACCTCTCACTGTGTGGTGACCAGGGGTGAGACCATTGTCCGATCAAACACAGTGGAGAAAGCCACGGAGGTGCGGGACGCCATGGGAAAAGCTCTGTATGGACGCCTCTTCAGCTGGATAGTAAACCGCATCAACTCTTTGCTGAGACCTGACAACCAGTCTGGGTGAGAGAGACACCCATACAGACCGGTCAGGCATATCATTATGACCACCTCCTTGTCTCTACATTCATTGTCCATCTTATCAGCTCCACTTACTATATAGGTGCACTTTGTAGTTCTACAGTTACAGACTGTAGTCCATCTGTTTCTCTGCATACTTTGTTAGCCCCCTTTTACCCTGTTCTTCAGTGGTCAGGACCCCCTTGGACCCTCACAGAGCAGGTACTATTTGAGTGGTGGATCATTCTCAGCACTGCAGTAACACTGACGTGGTGGTGGTGTGTTAGTGTGTGTTGTGCTGGTCTGAGTAGATCAGAAACAGCAGTGCTGCTGGAGTTTTTAAACACTATGTCCACTCATTGTCCACTCTATTAGACACTCCTGACTTGTCAGTACACCTTCTAGATATAAAGTCAGAGACGATAGCTCATCTGCTGCTGCACAGTTTGTGTTGGTCATCCTCTAGTCCTTCATCAGTGGTCACAGGATGCTGCCGACAGGACAATGAGCATAGAAACAAAGAGGTGGTCATAATGTTATGCCTGATGGGTGTATGTATGTATATACAAAGAGAGAACAGAAATGGTCCTTAAGTTCTATTCCCTACCTGACACAATCAAGAGCGCTATATAGAACACAATTATAGGGAACATAAATTGTGTTTAAAAATGATTTTGTATGTTAACGTTATATAAGTTTGATTATCACACTGCAGCAGTAGTCACATTTTGTGTCATAAACATGCAAACCTCATCCCATCAGTCTACTATAACTGCTAATTTAACAATATTCCAAATGAGATGCACACAGTGTCACTGATTGGAAGCACCAGAAGCTGTTTAAGTGCTGATAGCGCCCCTTGTGGAGTATCTTCAGCCTGCTAAACATGTCAATCACAAGCCAGATCCATAAGCCATAAGGCACTTCTCATCTAAAGATGCAACATGCCTTGCACACTGTCACATACCTCAGACTCAGACTGCAGCTAGAATAGCTGATCACATTAACCAACACAACTTATTTAAAAATGTATAAAATAGTGGCCTTAATTCTTTTTTAAATGCTATGGCTGTAAATATTAATTTTGGAGTGCAGTTTTTCAGAGAAGAGAGCTGAATATTGGCACATTGGCATCAACTCCTTGAAATTTGCACGTGCTTCTTCAAACCAAATGACACAGCGCATTATAGGTATTCCATGTCTGCTAAGGACGGCTTTGGTACATTGCGTATTGCATCGCATTGATGGACTGTGAGAGTATACTCGATACTCTACTTTTTCACTGTTGTCGGAAGAAAACCTTGTATCTCCATTTTTGACATATTTCACTTTTTGACATCATTTGAAAATGCCTGTTGTCCTTTACGTTGTGTGTAAATTTCATGATGAATGGACTAAAAGAAATTACCCAAAATGATTTGGACAAACGTCTGGTTCCATTGACTTACATTAAAAGTAAAATAGGTTTTTCTCCTTCTCCTGTAAAGTTACCATTTTGGAGATACGAGGTTTTCTTCCAACAACAGCAATCATTGGAGAATACATCTAAAGAATACAGTTAATGCTAAAGAGTTGGCTTCTATGTGTTTTGTCTTTTTGGACTTTGCCCACCACAGATATTGTACTTTGAACCTGAACATGTAAAATGTGGGCAGCCCTGGAATAGGGCATAGCACAGAGTCAGACAAAGCCCCAGAAATGCATACCAACCGATACAGAAAGAGAGAGGGGTGAAAGAGAGAAGGGAAAATGGAAAAATGATGAGAGAAGTGCAGTAAAGCATTAAATGGGCAAATGATTATTATTTTTGTTGGGGAGATGATGAGGAAATAAGGTGAAGGTGAGTAGTTTCCGTTTAAAGAAGCCATCAGACCTGCATTCCAAACCGTCTCCTTTCCTCTAATGCCTCTAATAGGCCCTCATAATGCCTGATTAATGGCACCAGTGTATGCCTGGCAACTACGATAATGATCTGTCATAAACCTTCTTATTAACCTTCTGCCATATTCTTTTATCCCTGCTGAATCACTCCTGCCTCATTCTTCCTTTAATCCAGAGAGGAAGACAAGGATCTGAACATCGGCATCCTGGACATCTTTGGCTTCGAGAACTTCAAGCGCAACTCTTTTGAGCAGCTCTGCATTAACATCGCCAACGAGCAGATTCAGTTCTACTTCAATCAGCACATATTCGCCTGGGAGCAGGTACTCCATTCATCCCCCCGCTGCAGATATAGCCGTCTCCTCCGATTATGAATAGTGCATGAGGTTTTTTGTGGCTCATGGGAGCGTTTGTACAACTTTTTTCCCACTTTTCTCCTTGGAATTAACTTATTTCCATCTAAATGATGATAGTGCATCATCAGTTACCCTGACATGTGGAGAGGGAGGAGGGAAAGGGAGAGTGTATTCGTTTAAGGAGTGAGTGAGTGAAGCCTTGGGGAGACAGATGTTTAGAGGTGCTTTAGTCTAACCCTTGTTGGACCTGGCATAAATCAGGCTAAATAAGGGTCAGTTAGAGGAGAAACACCCACATACAATCCACTGTGCCACTCTGCAGTGTTATTAACTAGACTGTTTAGTTCATTTGTATATTTGGTACCACTTTATTTTGATGGCCTGCTATAGATAAAATCCTAGTAACGCACAGCCTCGAGTGGCTTATTGCTTTTATAAAGCAGCGGCCAACGTAAAATATGATAAAATACACAACTTTTCAGAAAAAAATTATTATTAATAATAATCAACATAAACATATATTCTGCAAGAAATGCAGTTCCTTTAGAGTGTGGTACTGTTGCCAAGCTGAATGGGGAGAATGTTCAGTCACCCATCACTGTATATTGCGGTCATTTCATATATATATATATATATATATATATATATATATATATATATATATATATATATATATATATATATATATATGATCGTCATATATCTTAATTGTAGCCAAATAATCAGATCAAATCAATTCTGAGGAAATCGAATCGAAACTCATATATATATATATATGATCTTTATTGTATGACAGCCTAATATTACATATTCAGGTAATGAAATTTATTCCAGAATACTTCTTACTCATCATTACTTCTATGTGTGAATGTGTGTTTTTTACTCTCTGGGGCTTCTTTGAGTTTTGAGTTGGCACACACACAAGGACATGATTTCCCCTCTGTTTTTCTGTCCCTGTTCTGTTCTCAAATACATTTGTTTTTGCAAGCCCCAAGGGTCATATTTCAGCAGCGGTGCTGCTGTCCAACAATAAATAAATAAATAAATAAATAAATGAAAGGGTTGCTCCATGGCTGCTGGATGACTTTACCCAAGGCTAAATGTTCTGTTCTACTCCAGAAATGAGATTTCTTGGACATGTTTGTGTGTGTTTGTGTGAGTATGCATGTAACTGTGTGTCCTGTAGCTGTGTGTGTGTGTGTGTGTGTGTGTGTGTGTGCACATGTGTGTTGAACATGGTTACCTGGAGGTTGGAAAGGGCAAATGTTTGCTCCTGGGGTTTTAGCCTTTGTATGCAGGCAGTCAGTTGAGAACGAGGACTGGGCTGAGTCACCGTGCAGCTCAGAAACACACACACACACACACACACACACACACACACACACACACACACACACACAGTGTCTTTACTGAGGAATCTGCTTGCTCACTTAGAACAAAACCATCAGGACACCGACAGTTTGCTTCTGATTATGTGCTTTACTTGTTTACTCCATTTTTTTCTTGAATGTCAGCTGATCAAAGTAAGGGCCCACTGTTTTAGCACTCACACCATCACATATATATGAAAGCCTGTTTCCACCACTGAGATTATATATAGCCATTTAGTCAGTAATAACAGTGAGAAAGTTTACCATAATTATGACTTGCTATCTCATAATAATAAGATCTCATCTCATAATTACATAATATCACATAATTACGACACATTAAGTATCTCATCATTACTTGCTGTCTAATAATAATGATCTCATTATATGTAGAATGCTTCTCATAATTTGACTAAGTATCTCATAATTACGACTTGCTATCTCTGTAATGAGAACATCCCTCATAATGGTGAGTTAGTATCTCATAATTATGATTTTTGTCTCATAATAATGAAATCTCATCTCATAATTGCAACTTAGTATCTCATAATTATGATTTTTTGTCTCATAATAATGAAATCTCATCTCATAATTGCAACTTAGTATCTCATAATTATGATTTTTTGTCTCATAATAATGAAATCTCATCTCATAATTGCAACTTAGTATCTCATAATTATGATTTTTTGTTTCATAATAATGAGATCTCATCTCATAATTACAACTTAGTATCTCTAATAATTATAATAATTATGACTTGCTATCTCATTATAATGAGAACATCTCATAATTATGATTTTCTTTCTGATAATATGAGATCCTGTCTCATAATTATGGACGATTGTCTTATAATTATGACAAAAAAAAATCTAAAAGAATCTAAAATTAATGATTTACTATGTAATTATGTTCATACACTCTTATAATTACGACATAGTATCTCATAATTTTAACTTAGCATCTCATAATAATGATTGCATCTCATTTTTGTGAAATGGTTTTTCATTATTATTATATCGTAACTCATATATGAGACTCATTATTATGAGTCTAAGTCAATATTATGATATGCTAAGTCAATTATGACATACTGTGAGATAGTAAGTCATAATTGTGAGATACTATGAGATAGTAAGATATAATTATGAGAACCTTTCTCACTATTATGTTGTACTATATGAACTTTTTTTATTCAAGTGGCGAAAAAACATATATAATAACCTGGATGGTGAGTATTAAGGCTAACTGGTGTTTTCTTGGTATGTGTCCCTCCTCTATAGGACGAGTACCTGAATGAGGATGTGGACGCGCGGGTGATTGAGTATGAGGACAACCGGCCCCTGCTGGACGTTTTCCTGCAGAAGCCTATGGGCATGCTGGCACTGCTGGACGAAGAGAGCAGGTTCCCTCAGGCCACTGACCAGACGCTCGTCGGCAAGTTAGGCACACAAACACGCACATCTATAGGGGTGTAAATCTCTGAACTGAATAATGATTCAGTTACAGTTCTATAGGATTCATGCATGTCTTGAATTTCTCAGAATTGATTTGATCTGATTATTTGGCTACAATTCAGAATTATTTTTGAAAATACTCTGAATACATAGAGGAGCTGTTTACATAGTAGTGGTATGTGGACAATAAAAACAATACATCAAACTTTTTATGGGAATGTTTACATTTTGAAAATGGCCTCAATTAGCAGAAAAATGAGTACTTTTGCGTAGTATGAATATAAAATTAATTATTATTAATTTAAAACATTCCCAAATTGATGCAGCTGAATCACTACCTTTAGATCAATACTCTACCCGTTCAGATTCACAGTGCTTTTGGGAACCTGCTAGAGTTTTTCCTGATTCTGATGTAGCAAAATGATAAAAAATGTAGGAATAAGATAACACTAATTTAACCCTTTAAGGCTGATGCATTAATAATGTGATAAATGTAATTTAACACAGAAATAGGCAGATTTTTTACAACAAGAACATGCAATAATAGGAACACTAGTCACACATGAGTTATGTTTTGTCATTATTCTGATGAAACTAATAAAATATTATCGCCTACAGATCAGAATTGCATTCAGCAATAAAGGCAGCATGGAGCTTCTTTTATGCTGTGATAGATACACAGTAGCACACAGAAAGCTCCAATTCTGCATACTGATCCAGTTTACTATCACCAGCTACTCTGGGGACAGAGACAAAACCAAAGACTCTGAATTGATCACCTGCAGCATGTTCAGTTTTATTGGGTTAACCACCAACCCCTAGACTTTTTGGGCACTGCTGTAAAACGGCAAAAGGAAACGTTCTCTATTGCATGAATGACAGGCTGCATCATTGGAATAATCATTATTTAAATAACATGTTAAAAGGCCCATATTACAACTTTTTTTCTTTACATAATAATTATATTTTATGATATATCTTTGCTTCTTCTGTTTATGCATCTACATAATAACATACAATAATACTTTTGCTCTTGTTTTGCTCTTTACTGCACTTTGTGCTGCTGTAATAGACGACTGTCAGTCTGGGATTCATAAAGTGATCTACCTACCAACCTACCTACCTAACTAACTGACTGACTAACTAACTAACTACCTACCTACTAATAACTATTATAACTAATTATAATAACCTACTAACTAACTAACTAACTAACTAACTAACTAATTAACTACATACCTAACTAACTAACTAACCAACCAACTAACTACATACCTAACTAACTATCTAACTAACTAATAACTACCTACCTACCCACCTAACTAACTAAAAGATTATAGATAGATTGTATTGTTGTATTTTAATACTGTTAAAGTTTCACAATATACCATTCACTTTGATAGTCCATACAGTCCATATATGGAAACATGGAAACTAATGACAACTCAGCCCGTTATGAATTCACTAATTTTTGTGATGTCACAAAAACCAATGCATGTACACATATCCGGCTATTCCGCCTACAGCAGTTTAGCCCTGCCTATTCACACTGAAGTTATAAGGAGTGTTTCAAGTCAGACCTCTTTTTGAATGAAGCTCAAGTTAGCTAGCCAGTTAGAAGAAACCTCATTTACATACATCAGTCTTAAAGGCACAGTAACAAAACAGTCTGTTTAATTCTAAGGGATAAAGAGAAGTTGGAAAAAAGTGAATTATGACTGTTTCGTGGTACATAAATCATGTAAACCTAATAAGAATAAAATAGAAGGAAAATATATCATATGGGCCCTTTAAGGTAGTGAAAGCACCACACTATACAGTGCATAGGTCTTTCGAGAATGACCTAAATACCTCACTAGCACACTGTAAGCTTGTCATATGACCTTTGGGTGTCGTATGATGAGGTATTCCGGTGTCTGACACACACACACATGCTTGCACCCTCAAGAGCTCATATGTATATACAGTGACATAGCAAGGAAAGACAATCTTTCATCAAACATTTACGGTCACGCTGCATCTTCAGCCATTTTCTCCTGAGGAGAAAGACTCACAGTGGCGTCTTACGGTGTCATCTGAATAATTGAGTGTGTTTTGCCTGGACTGCCATTTATCTGTTTTTCCGTGAGCTCTCTGGCTGCAGTGAATGAACTGACTGATAAAAGAATGAATGAATAGGCAGGAATGCATGAATGAGTGAATGAATAAATGTATAAACTTTGTCGTTGATTCAGAAAAATTTGAGGACAACTTGAAGTCTAAAAACTTCTGGAGACCAAAGAGGGTTGATCTGGGCTTTGGAATTCATCATTACGCTGGGAAGGTATCCAAGATTTTACTTTGTTGGGTGTGAGTGGTAGAAGACAAAGGATCAGGGGTGTATTTGTGAGTGGAGTGCATGATCAATATTAAATAACAAAAAATGCAGTGCAAAAGCTTAACTATCGAACCACTGACATATTAGTTATTATCTTATATCTTAAGACTTACTGGGACCTACTGGGTCAGCCCATGCCAGCTCACCTGGACCGGTCATGTGAAACCATACAGCATTTCAGAGCTGTGCTCTGAGTGTGTTTTTAGTCATGAATTTTTAAAGTTTAGGCTCTAAATGAAATCGTAAATATTGAGTTTAACAGCTTACAGAATGACTGAACTGAGCTGAAGTATGAACTGGGTACAAAAACAGAACAAAGGCTGGCTTTACACTGTGAAGACTTAATGCAACTAGTTGCACGTTGTGAGTTGCCTGCAACATATTTTCCCTGCAACTTAATGGTTGCACAAAGCAACTCAAAAACAAAGTTGCATGCAACATATTCAGTTACCCTATTATATTGCCTGATTTAGGAAATGTCTTCAGTGTACTGCAAAAACAAAAGAATTGACCTCACCATTCCAATACGTAGGAGGCTGTATTTGTGTTTTAATTCCTTTCAAAAGAGACTGTATTTGTGTTTTTATCTTCTGTGTGTATATTATGCCTTTGAGAATTAATGTTTAAGTAGTCATTATAGTTCTAGGCTACTTGATGTATTGCTCGCCCTGTCCTCGAAGGACAAGTTCGCTGGGGACAGCATTCCTGTCTATAATTTTTTAAATTTTCTCTACAATAATTTTCTTACTTGAGATCCCAGATTAATTTGAGCTGTATGTAAAATTATAGGGCATCAAGAGAGGAGAAAATTTAGCTATGTAAATCACGAGAACAGCAGGTTAAAGATGAATAAACAGTGGCACAAGCAGCCATTTAAACAGCTATTAGCGTCAGCTGGCTAGTTAAGTGAGCTGTTTACAGAAACGTTTGCTTTACTTGTTTGTTGTCATGACTCAGGATGCTCAGGAATCAAAATGAAAAGTCCTTTTCAACCAAGCAATAAATCATCTTCTGCTTATTTTCTTGTTTATGGATCCAGTTAAATCAGTGGTTTGAAAGCACGTCCTTCAACGTGATCATGTGATGCCCTATTAATGTTTTGATTGGCTGATTCATTTAGGGTGCAGGACACAACTCAAGTGCAATTTAGTTTCATGTAGGTTTCAAGCAACTAAAGTTTCACTGTGTAAAGGCAGCCTAAGAAGCATTTTTGCTTTAAATCAATGGGTTTTAATGTTAACAGATTGCTACAACAAGATCTTTTAAGGACGAATGTACTTTTTTGCCAGACTCCAACAAATTTACTTATTGTGGGAATTTATTAACATAAAACTAGTTGATTTCAAGTGAAATGTTATTTTTATGCTTATTATTCATGTTGCATTTACAAGCAGTTAGTATTTCAGCTCATTTCAGTCATTGTGTACAAATTTTAACTTAAAATTTATGATGCAGTTTAGAGCCTAGTGTGGCAAAATTCATTACAAAAAAATGAACTGTATAATAGTATAACTATAAGTTATAGTTATTATATAGTCAATTGTATATACTTTCAAATTTTACTTTCATTTTTGAATGGAAATCACATTTTTGATGATGTGACCAGACGCTCTGGTTGGCATGGCATGACCTTACTGTAAATTATTGTGCGAGAGGGTTAAGTGTGTCTGTTACTACGTAAAACAAGAGTGTAACTCATTTTCCTGAATGTGTTTGATTGTTTTGATCAGGTGATCTACAATGCTGCTGGGTTCCTGGCTAAGAACAGAGACGCTCTGCCTGCTGACATCGTCCTGCTGCTGAGGTCCTCAGAGAATGACCTGATCCGCAAACTAGTCACCCATCCGCTCACTAAAACAGGTACCACAGTGACGCACAGTTCAAGCTCTTCAGCCATGGCTGTCAGTCTTTGTGATTTTATTTATTTATAGAATTGTGTATTACACTGTGCAGCTAACATTGCAATAATTAGTACTGAGTTTTGATCGTCATATACATTAAAATGTATTTGTCTCAGTGTTTGACCACAATATTGTCATGTGTAACACAGTTTATGCTACACCCATAAATTGCACCTTCAATAAAAATACAATATACACTGCTCACTGCATGCATCTGCAGAAGTTTCGAGTTTAAGAAATAGTAGCTTTCAGCAAAACTGATTACATTATTGTTGTATAATATGGCTGTTTATTCCAGTGTTTGTCAGCCCAGGTCCTGAACTACCACTGCTCTGAATAGTTTAGTATTTCACCTGCTCCACCACATCCACTTCAACTGAGGACACTCAGGCTTGTTAGTTCACCGTTGAGGTGAATTGTAGACGGCCTGATGTCAAAATTGAGCTTTTTTGTCTTGTTAGTTCATGTACCTCCTCATATTAAGCATATTAAAATTTAAAAGAAACCCTTCCTTTATTGTAATCTTTCACTGGAATGTGATGACCTACCTCTAAAACATCTTCTGATTTTTGATTACATCACCGTGCAGCAGTGGTTGGGGAAAAAATGTTAACCCATAATATCATATTTCACCTCCCCCCTCCCACCATTCCCACCTGTCATTAAAAGAAAAACACTCAGATAGCTCCCCTATACAAGGTTTCACTCACAAACTATGTCACTGTACAGAAGGGAAATGTGTTATAATTCATGTTGAGACTAAGCAAATTAAGCAGGGTAAACACTAAAGTGTCCAGTGCAGGGGTGCTAACCAAGGACCAAGACACAGGAAACACATTGTATTCTGTTGGTCTTGCTAAGAGATGAGACAACAGCAAAAGCATTTCACTTTTTCCAGCTTACCGTCCAGTAATCGCTGGTCGTCCTTTTGTGGCTAAAAGCTGGCCCCTCCAGAGTGAGTACAGCACGCAGGCGAAGCACGGGTCAAATCAACCCCGTAACTTAATCACTCGGTAATAAAGCCTTGTAGCTGTTTAACGCGATAGTTCTGCAATAAATTCACTTTCCCCAGTAACCCGAAATGGCGGGAAATCAGCTGAGACATGTTTGGTGTCTGAAGTTGCTTCTTTTGTTTTGCATTGGAGCTATGAGGCTAATGTAGCTAACAAATGATGGCAGCTTACACCCCACCATTTAGCACTGTGCTAACTGTATACCTTAATCATCACACACTTTCCCCAAACAGCACTGAGTTGTTAAGTAATCTCAAATTGTGTTTGATTATGTGGTTTTTGACACTTTAAGGCAGGGGTGTCAAACCACTAAAAAGGCCATATTAAAAAATCTCAGCAAATCTGTGGGCCAGAGAACGCCTATGTTTTATTTCATTTTTAATTAACATTTTGCTATAAACCAATCTGACCATTGTTTATTCAAAATACGCAAAAACTTCAACAGTAAAATGCAGGCACTTGTAGTAAACCTTGAAACATTACATGAATTCTTTAAATATTCAAAGTTTAAATGTCCGCAGGTGCTCAGCCTTTTAAACCTACCTATGTGCTTGAATAAAGACACCTGGCATCTTTTCTTTGCTGCAAGTTCATTAAAACTTGGGCTCAATTTCTGAGCTGCTGAGCTAACATTGTGTTTAGATCGGCCGAACTGCAGTTAGTGTGTTTGGTGATATGATTGGTGTGGAACTGTGTGGAATTGTGTAGAATTGAGGTGTAACTGCTGTCACATAGATTGTTGTTGGTGTAGGAGAGTTGGAGCGCACATTGCGTTGCAGTGCATATTGGGGACTGTAGTGCAGGGCACTGTGAGACGAGCTAATATTAATAGACAATTGAAATACTTTTGCAGGCCGGACAGGATTGTGTCGTTGGCCTGATCTGGTAGAAATGGACAAAAGTATATTGTGTAGCTGTGAATGGTAGTAGAAGCAACCTTGAAGACTGAATTTTGTCTGTACTTTTGTTAATTTTTTTACGCCAGTGTATATACCATCAAATTTCATACAATTTCATATACCAGTATTTTAAACAATGTGAAAATCCATATACTCAAGTCTCTTAGAGACTAACACAGCTTCAGACAAGTGAATGCAGGTTCACAAACTTATTACACTACATTAGCCTTGTAGATCCAATGCAACACTAAAAAAGTAAAACTCAGACATTAAATATGTCTTGTCTGATCAATTATATTTGGGTTTTTGATTTCATTTGATTGTTCATGAAACTACCTCTTTAACTCGCTCTCTCTCATAACTCACTGAATTTCACTGAAATTCGCCGTTTATCTCTTGGTGTCCGTGGTGATTTCTCAGGGTGATAGTAGTTCTGTTGCGTCTTATTAAAGGGAAATTCCACTGCTTTTTAAAGTCATTCAGAGTGGTTTGACGTAAAATGCTGCATTGTTGAGAAACTTATGGACTCAGATATCTGTTTCAGTGGTGCTGATAGGAACCAGACGTCACAATGAATACAACACAAGTATAGACATTCTATTTACTATCCAAAACCACTGATGAACCTACGCGAGTCTTCTGAGTGTTTATATGTAACGTTGATGATGGCAAAATAGTGATAAACCTTGAAAACTAAGTTTTCTTTGTGGGCCATTTTGCCTCACAATAGCCTGCAGGTTCCTCTCCACCATTGATATCTCATAATGCAATGTTTTAGGCCAAGACCTTTTCGTGAAACTGTCGTAAAGCCATGTCTCGGGCATCAGGCAGTGCGTTTTGTGTAATAATACTTTTGAGTGTGGGAGCTTTTAGAGACATTAAACTCTTCAGATGTCTGGTTCCTATCACCAGCACTGTGAACAGTTCAGACTCTAGAATGAAGCATTTCACTTCAATCACTCTAAATGACTCCACCTCTAAAAATGATGGTTCTTCAACATAAAGAAAATGGTTCGATATAGAACCGTGAACACTTAAAGAACTCAAAGTGAAGAGTTCTTCAGATTGATGGAGAATGTGTTTTTTGTGGTTCTACATATCAAAAAGCACTCTCAAAAAGCTACCTACATTGGGGCTTCATATTACATACATAAGCATTGAATAACGTATTTACAGTATTGTGCAAATGTCAAAGACCACTCTGCTGTACTTATTTATGTTTCAGTCGAAACGACCATTAAGCACAAGTTATTAATTCTTCAGCATTGGGGAAAAAAGGAGAAAATATATTTAACAGAAATGTACACAGAGGTCTCAACAGCTAAATATAATATCAAATTTTATCTAGTATTTATTTTGCCTTTATTACAGCTTGTGTTCTTTTCGGGAGACTCGCTTTCCGTTTTTTAAAGAAATAGGTTTGGAGGTCCTACATGGCTGTCAGGAGTCCCATTTTCTCTGTATCTTTTAATCAATTTTTGCACTACGGTTTTGGAAACTGCTGTGTTTTTTTCCCTTTTCTTATGCAAGTTGATTATCTTACATCTGATCTCCTCAGAAATATTACCTGAAAAATAAACTTGTGCTTAATGGCAGTTTAAACTGAAAAGTAATAAATGAAAGGTGATCTCTGACTTTTGCACAGTACAGTGTAAATCATTACTTGAGTATTTGTGAACAGACTATGCCAGTAATTGCAAGATGGCAGAAGATGTTTTATGAAGTAAATGACATTGACAAAAAGGGTCTTACACTAAAGTGACTGACCATTACACGTACTTCCATTAATTGGGAGTGATGCTTCATAACAGGGTTATAAATGGAACAAATGTCCTTCACTTTATCAAAAAGCACTCTTCTAATGTTACAGGCTTGACCTCGTAACAATAGAAGAACACTTTTTGGTGCTATATAGAAGTCTTTTCAACAAGGTCCTATATAGAACCATCTACAGCACATTTTCCACTTTAATCATGCAAAGGGTTTTTTTTTTTAAGTGTTCATGGTTCTATATAGAACAATTTTCTTTACCTTGAAGAACCACAAAGTGTGTAAATATGCAGAGGAATTCTTATGAATCTCATTAAAAGACATTTCACCTTTTTTTATATTTGACGTGGGTGACCTGGAAATGAGCGGTAGATCTTCCTGGAGTAGTATCTGATCTGATTCATTGATCTGGTGAACAGCAGGTGTCTAACATCAGTGGCTTTCTTTCTAGTCGACGGTAGAAATTAAAGTCTTTTAGCGGATCTGTGCTGTAACCCTATTGTTCTATTTGCGCAGGTAATCTGGCGCACACCAAGGGCAAGACGTCGGGAACAGCCCGACTGGGCACACGCACTCCTCAGCGCACCATAAACTTCGCCAAGGTACTGCTGCCCGCACAGTTTGCGAAATAATTGCTTTTTGTGAGAAAACATGTTTGATGTATGGACTAACTTTTCTTAATTTCTCACTCTGCTCTTCTCTTTTTCTCCCTTTTTGTTCTATTTCCCATCTGACCTGTATTTCTGCTGCACTCTACCACCTTTTTGCGCATGTCTCTTTGTCTAAAGATGGGAGTTCTGATGTTATTCAGTTCCCTCTCAATCAGTGAGGTAATAACACATCTCTCGATATCTGCCCACTGCAACCCATATAGATACGAAGATATACATGTGACTTGTTCTGCTCTTATCATCAGCCCCATGGTGTTGTGCGTGTATGTGTACACGACTGTAACCAACCATCTCCATCCCATGTGCTCACATTTTGTAGATGTATTTGTCATGGTATGGAAATTTTGCATTTGCACAGGTGAATGAGTTGATGGTAACACTTTATTTGAAAGCTACCTACATTGGGGCTTCATATTACATACATAAGCATTGAATAACGTATTTACAGTATTGTGCAAATGTCAAAGACCACTCTGCTGTACTTATTTATGTTTCAGTCGAAACGACCATTAAGCACAAGTTATTAATTCTTCAGCATTGGGGAAAAAAGGAGAAAACATATTTAACAGAAATGTACACAGAGGTCTCAACAGCTAAATATAATATCAAATTTTATCTAGTATTTATTTTGCCTTTATTACAGCTTATGTTCTTTTCGGGAGACTCGCTTTCAGTTTTTTAAAGAAATAGGTTTGGAGGTCCTACATGGCTGTCAGGAGTCCCATTTTCTCTGTATCTTTTAATCAATTTTTGCACTACGGTTTTGGAAACTGCTGTTTTTTTTTCCCTTTTCTTATGCAAGTTGATTATCTTACATCTGATCTCCTCAGAAATATTACCTGAAAAATAAACTTGTGCTTAATGGCAGTTTAAACTGAAAAGTAATAAATGAAAGGTGATCTCTGACTTTTGCACAGTACAGTATAGATCATTACTTGAGTATTTGTGAACAGACTATGCCAGTAATTGCAAGATGGCAGAAGATGTTTTATGAAGTAAATGACATTGACAAAAAGGGTCTTACGCTAAAGTGACTGACCATTACACGTACTTCCATTAATTGAGAATGATGCTTCATAACAGGGTTATAAATGGAACAAATGTCCTTCACTTTAGTTTAAGGCTCCTTATGTCAATGTAAAGACATTTACTTTATATATTTAAGTGTAGCTGTTTAAATTCCTTATTCAGTGATTATGAACGGGTTATGAATTCCCTGTGTAGCCTTTAAATACAGTGTTACTGAGTTGATTCTGTGAAAGACATTACGAGGAGTTCATTTCCCATATTCAACGTTCCAGCAGCTTATAATACCACAACACATGACTGTCTATTCTCAGCTGCTGTTTTGCTTGGTCATGTTACAGTTCTGTTTTACAGTTCAGTGAATGGCTGTATTCTCTAAAGCAGTCTATGGTTCTGTAATGCCTTCCTAGCCTAGGAGGAAACATGGTGTACATTTAAAGATTTCACTGTCTGAAGTTCCACGCCGGGAACTAATTGAGACTTTATACATATTGAAATGAACAGTCTTTGATGAGGAACGTGAATATATTTCCATCCATTTGCATAGTAAGTCATGCTCTCTTTAGAAATTTCACATCAAAGATTCTGCCCATTGTTTCCATAGTAAAGATAAGGCCACCTGTGCCAGTGTCTCCAGTCCGCAGATCTGCTTTGTGTTTGATGTAGTTCGGCAAAATGTCCTTAAAGCGATAGTTCAGCAGAAATCTAATTCACACAGTTTCCTTCTTACCCAGCATGTAGTCAGATAGGCACCATAAGGCTATTGTAGCCTATTATAAAATGCATGCCTGAATCATCACAAACCTCTCTTAGACCTATAACTGTCGATTTTTTTTTACCTTTTATTTCCTCAAAGCATTTGCACTTTTTTTTGGGTCTTTCCTTTCATTCTGAGACGGTTCCTAACACTGAAGTGGATGTGGGAGCAGAGACTTAATCTTTATCAATGAAAAGAACATCATAAACACAAAGTGCAGTTGAAGTTGTGGTTGTAGTATATTGTGATCTTTAATTTATCCATAAAGCTTTAATTGATCTAGTAAAAAAAAAACAAAATCGTGAAGGTCGTTAACTTTTGCTGTCCAACGCCGTTTTGCCTGAGGCTGTTTAGTTTAGCCTGATGCCATTTTGTCTGAGGCTGTTTCGCATGATGTCCGAGAGCTGAGACCTGACAGTGTTTTCTCGGAGACCCTAAGCTTATTTGTCTGATGGCTTAAATCCAAAGCTGTGGTCAGTGGATATCCTAAAACTTGCTCAACATGTTTGAAGTTATGTTCATGTTTGGGAATGTTAGTGTCTTGCTGTAGTTTGCAGTAGTTACCATCACCAAGCACAAACATACTCAGACCACCCTGAGTTATCTCACATAGACTTGTGTACATGGTTTCTCACAGCGTATGACAAAAGTACAGACATACTTTTGTCCATTTTTGTAGTCAGCTTGTTAGTTACATTACACTTGTTGCTCCAGGATGAAACCGACTGATGGTGATAGGAACCAGACATCACAATGTCTACAGCACATATATGGCCATTCTATTTACTATCCAAAACCACCAGTGAACCTGCACGAGTCTTCTGAGTTTTATATGATGTCGGTGATGGTAAAATAGTGTTAAATCTGAAAAAAATCAGTTTTCATTGGGGATTTTTTTTACATCACAATGCCCTACATGTACCTCACCTACACTATCAGTGTAAAAACACACACACACACACACACACACACACACAAACACACATCTGAGAAAACCTATTGAAAAACAATGTCTCAGCCTTCAGTGTATTCATATCCATTTCATGTAATAACTGTCTATGAGGGAGCTTTTAGAGGCATTAAGCTCTTCAGATGTCTGGTTCCTATCACCACCACTGTGAACAATTCTGACTCTGTACTTTTCTCTAGAACAAAGCATTTCAC